ACAATCAGTCCACCCATTCGCATACACACATTCACATAACTGATGATGATAAGCTACTTTGTAGCCGCAGCTGTCCTGGGGGGCACTGACGTAAGTTGCTAATTTATAAACATCTGTTCACAGTTCATAGAGCCGTTAAGATTTTTTTTGTACAGAACGTGTTGCCCAATTAATAATTAATAACACTCTCAGCGGATCAATGTCAGAAATCAGTTGAACCTGTTCACCTCGCCCCCTCCTCTCTCATCCTCCAGGTGCTGCTGTTCTGCGCATGCGTCTTGCTTCTTCTGGAGTTTCGGCCTGTTCCGCGACCACTCGGTCATTTTCGCCTCTTTGTTACATTGATAGTGGATTTAACTCGGATTCAACCCAAACATCCAGAGGACTGTGCGGCTCTCTAACAGGTTAGTTACTTCACTTTCTCTTCTGCTCTTCGTGTCTCCGTCCTCAGCGGTGGGTCAACGGGGTTTCGGCTCGGTTAGCTCCCCGTCCTCCCCATTTTCGCTGCGGGACACGCCGTACGTGTTGTTTTATGTGTCTGTGTGGTGGTGGATGGCGGCGCCGGGCCCTGCAGTTGCACACCGGGGATGAGGGGGGGTTTATAAAGGGAAAAGTGTTCCGTTAAGGCGGCTTCAGCGTTGGTGGAGATGCACACTGTTAGCCCAGTCGGAGTGTAGCCTCCTGTTCGGCTCTTCATGTTTAAACACTGCTGTTCCTCTCAGCCAAGCACCAGTTCATGGTTCCCACTCAGATGGAATGTTCTTGAAAGCTTATGCTCCACCATTAGCCTCACGCCTTCCTCCTGCCGTCCAAAGTTGAGCCCGACATATGTGGAGGAGGAGCTGCGTTAGGGTTTGGATTCAATCAAGACCCAAAGTTGAAGCGTTTTTTTAGATTTAGTCTTCTGGGTGGATGTCGCCTCTCTCCAGGCTGCTGCTGCTGCTGCTGGAGATCAGTGTGACATTGTGGGGAGAAAGATGTGCACAGAGCTGCCAATAAGTCTGCTGTGTGCTGAGATAATCTGCACATAAAACGTCATTTTCACTCTAAAAATGTACCTGTCATAACAGAAATCATGGTTTCGATTCAAGGATTTCCTTCAGCCTCTGCCACATCTGGGACTTGCAGCCTGTGGAGCGTGCTCTAGGTGATCCACAGGTCACAAAATTTGGATAGTAATGTTTAAACTGGGTCACATTTAGCCTCAAGTACACTCTTTATTCTGTTTGTAGCAAATTTACCTCTTGTTTAATTGTAGTAATGTGCTGATGTATTTGAATGCACAAACCTTTTACTTTTACCTTGTAAAGAAGGAAATATTTACCATGAACTGCTGCTGGCACACCTGAATTTCCCCATTGTGGGACATTTCTGTTCTGTTTTAGTCTAAACATATGAACAGCTGTGAGATTATCTTTGTAAAGTGGTGGCACTTTCATCTAATACTCATTTTCAGTAAATTGTTCTCCTTTTTAAAATGTTTGGAACTGCTTTCACTCACCTCCCTTCTCCATGTTTTGTCTCACAGATGTTCAGCCTGCACATTGTTGAACGTTGCAGAAAGAATGCTAAACACGTCTTGTTTCTGCTGTGTGGAATTAAAAGAACATCTTTTGTTTATGTGCTTTTGCTCCCAGTATAATGAGTTTAAGGATGATTGTTACATTTTGACAGAGACAGCCTCTTGTATAAAAATATGGAGATTGTGTTCAGACCAGACTTTTTTTGTGTACCAGTCACTAGTGGAGTGTTAAACAACAGAAACGAATAAGAGCTTTTACTGTGACAAGCACTGGCCATTTTAATGGGTACAATTTTTTGCCTGTTAACACGAGCATCTGATCAGCTAATTGTTCAGGCATCTAGACATGGAGAAGAGGACTTGCTGAAGTTCAAATTGAGCATCAGAAGGAGGAAGAATTTAAGGGACTTTTGAATGTGTCATGATTATTGCTGGACAGGCTTGCCTGAGTGTTTAAGAAACTGCTCATCTACTGGGATTTTCACCCACAAACATCTCTGGTGTTTATAGACTACGGTATGCAGTGAGTGGCAGTTGTGTGAATGCAAGTGTCTTGTTGATGACATAGGCAAAAATGAGTGGGCAGACTGGTTGGACATGGTAGAAAGTAGGGATGCACGCTTTCCAAAATTTCTCTAACCAGTTATTGACATCTTAATGGTTAATAATCAGTTAACCGTAAACCCCTCCACCCTGGACGTACACAAACATTTTCCCCTGCTCTATAAATAATAACACTTTTTCTGTCTATTTTCTTATACAATTCAGACGCACAACTAAAGTTCCACACTCGTTACATTTATGAACAAAAAGTAAAGAGAGAGTGGGAGGACAGCTGAAAAGTCCGTTAAACTCAGATCTTGTCGTGCAGCGCCGTCTGGCATTAATTACACTGCTTGTGATTGCTTGCTTATAAATGATAAATGACCCGCACTTGTATAGCGCCTCTCAGAGTAAGGACTCCAAAGCGCTTGGCACTACAGTGTATCTTTCATCCATTCACACACACATTCACACACTGGTGGTGATGACCTACGATGTCGCCACAGCTGCCCTGGGGCGCACTGACAAAGGCAAGGCTGCGGAGCACAGGTGCCACCGGTCCCTCTGACCACCAACAGCAGGCAAAGTGGGTTAAGTGTCTTGCCCAAGGACACAACAGCAGAATTCTCTGTCCGGAGCCGGGATCGAACCTGCAACCTTCCGATTACTGGACAACCCGCTCAACCTGTTAGCTACTGCTGCCTCATAAGCACATTCTAGAGGCCACATTTTTTAAAAAACACTTTAGTTTCCTTACATTGAACTAAATAATTACACCGACATTTCTTTATTTTACTAGACAAATTAGGAGTCAGGCGCAAGCAGGAGCATCATGGCCGACTGACCTGTTGCTGATCATGGTTCAGTTTGATGCACCATGCTCTGCCAGGTTCAGTGCTTTGATGTGAGGCTTATTGTGTTCCAAAAATGAAATAACTAAGAATAAACTGCTCCCATGCTGTGCTCTTTGCTAACATCTTCATGTTTGAGCACATTTGTTTGGTCATGTGACAAGCTCTTTTCTTCTGCGGTTGCCCAGCAAACATATTTTGATATTTTTCCGTGCTTAACCATTTTTAACGGACCGGCTCTCCGGCAGTCAGCTTGGTGCTAAGCTGACTCAACACACCCATTGCTGTTGTAGCAAGAGCCCACGGCAGAACTGCTGCTCATAGAGACAGTATAGGGCTGCACAATATATCGAAAAATTATCGTCATCACGATAACGGGACGTGCGATAAGCCCATCGCAAAGCACGTCAAAAACCGCAATAAATGTTTGGTTCAAACATTTCCATCCGTGTCATACATCAACTTTTTGTAAACCAGCTCTGTTTTTTACGCGGAAGTATTATTTGACCAATCAAATGTAGCCCTTCTGATATGTGGCCAATCAGATGGGTCCGTTCACGTAATACGCCCGCCCCCTACATAGACCCATAGGATGGGTGGAACGCAACACCCGAACTGAGTTAGCGGCGCCGTTCCCTTGTTCGTCATGCTGGCTCAGATTAACGAACACACTTTGTGCTGAGGTTTCTGGAATCAGCGCTGCTTTCAAACGTGAACATGAGTCTAGGGCTGCAACAACGAATCGATAAATTCGATGAAAATCGATTACTAAAAGCGTTGGCAACGAATTGCGTCATCGATTCGTTGTGTCGCACAACTCTTCCAAAAGCGCCCCCCCCCCCCCCCCCCCCCTTCCTGCCCGCCGTTGCGCGCAGACCAGAGCAAGTCAGATCAGCGCGAGGGAGAGCCGGCAGATCAGCGCGAGGGAGAGCCGCAGATCAGCGCGATGGAGAGCCGGCAGACTTGCGCTGCTGCGAACCGGTTCCGCATTGTCGCGCAGCGATCCAGGCAGCTGCTTCCAGCGCACGGTCCATTCTCAAAGTGGCGCAACCAAAAAACTATAATTAGCACACGATCGTTCATGTCCGCACATATTCTCTATTTTCTGTCTTATTTGTGCCTGAAGCTCGCTACTGCGGAGCTCATCACCTGTGCTGTGGTGATGTCACCTCACGCAGCATCGAAAACGCGCTCTGCGCTTTTCGGTCAGGAGATCCCTTTGATCTGCTCAAAAGTAACTGATGAGGTGAAAAGGTAAGAATCCAGGCAACAGATTTTCTGGAGAATTATGAGGAGATGCAGGAAGATGAGAGACAGACAGGACAGGAAAATAGTTAAATAAAAACAAGAAAACAAAACAAAGTGTTGAAAAGTCAAATGTAGGTAGATTTATCTCCACGACACGTTTTTACCAGTAAAAAACAATAAGTTATACACATGTCATATTTATACATCTGATACAATTCAGATCACCTTCAAAACTCAGTCACACACCCAGGGCCGTTTCAAGACATTTTGGGGGCCAAGGCAAAATGCCCCCCCCCCCCCCCCCCCTAACTGGGCTCCCCAGAAGCCTCTGTGTAATTCATGCCCTCTCCAGTAGTGTTACTTATATGGTGTTTATAAAAGCCCCTCAGACATTACTGACATGTTCTCATATTATCAGATGAAAAACTAAATTATCAAACATGCTGTCTCATCTGCTGCTTTTCTAAACCTGCTAAAAGTAACAAAACCATTTGAAAGCCACTATTTGTGGATTCTCTGAAAGTTTCCATGGAGTGTGTGACAACTTATTTTTTCATTGATCCTATCGTCTAATCTCACAGCTGAAACAAGCATCCTTAATAATCTGTGCACAGGAAGCGATGCTGTAGTAAAACAAAAGGTATAACAATTTATTATTAATAAAACCTTGTTGCAGCACTAAAGCAGAAAAATTAGATTTTGCATTAAATATGCAAAATATTTACATATGAATTGTTTTAGAGCCCTTTAATTGGCAGAATCTGATATTAATTTAGTTCTTACAAAAAATGGGTCCCAACATGGTTTGTGTGGCGTTGCCATAGTGTGACGTCATAGGCACAGATCCCCTGTCCTCTTGTTTGGAAATGGAAATATGGTCACCCTACATTAAACAAACTGTCCACCCGGGCTTTTGCGCTTCACAGAGATGCTTCGCTGCCTATGACTGAATGTCAGTTGAGAGTCAGTCTCATGCAGACTGACCAATGAAGAGAGGGCCTCAAGTTAAGACCCTCTCCTCATTGGTCAGTCCACACGAGGTGGGTCAAAGGTTACTCTGGGCGGGTTACGTGTTGTCAGGCATTCAAGTATTGAGTATATTTACTGCATATCACAGTAAAATATTCTGTATGTGACCACATTATGGTGATCCTCGGGTCGTGATGATGGAGCCCTTGAATATTGTTGCCCAGGGTACAACAAAGTGTTAATCTGGCCCTGGTTCCGCCGTCACATTCCC